ATTCCTAAAGAACATTTGGTCTTCATGAAAAGTAGTTTCATCCTCTTTAATTTTTTAAAAATAATTTTCCCAAAAAAATTGACTTCTACGTTATATAAACTAAATTGAGTAAAAAGATTTTCGGCTTTGCCTCGAGTTTTATATATCGTATGCAACACGGACTCGAATATTGTATGATTGCTTAATAAACGCCTAGGTTAGTTCCTTTTTGTGTTTCACTAAAATTTGCAATAGAAAAGTGGCTTTGCCCAAGCAAATCCACTATCCATTACAAATGACACGAAGCGAATAATCTTGCATCACAATTAACATAGCAGAACCAAAGAGCGTGGAGAATCGAAGCTATTTATTATCAAATTTTCTAGAGTTAAAAAGTTTCGTAAGAGTTGTTTTCTGTCTCAGATTTTGCCTTTTGTTTCGTTTCGCACATGCCAAAAAGGCTTATATAATTTTTACGTTAGAGTGCTCACACTAAATCCGTGAAACAAATACTAATTTTTAGCACTAAATAGTGATAATTAAACAATAGAAAACAAAGGATTCTGTATGAAATAGTACTAATTAGTACTATTTAATGTTCACGGTTTTAGTGCGTGCACTCTAATAGTAAGAATAAATATCTCTCTAAGAAACGCAATTCTTTCGACAATACCCTGGCATTCTTCGGTTGTTTTGATCACTCATTGTTCTAGAAAATTCTTTTTTCAGTAGAAAACATCGTATTGACGCAAAAGGCCGCTAACTCACCTCCGAATACATAATTATTCTATTTAGGGAAAGTTCATTTAATATGTCGAGGGGGAGGAGACGAATATTTCTCCTCAAAACCTTAATTTTTTAACGGCCCCCCTTTAGGATTTAACTTAATAGACCCTTTTCCAAATTACCGCTGTGTTTCTTGATTACAGACTCATTTACTCAGGCTTAGCCTCGAATCAGTGTCTAAATATTCACGAATACCAACGGTAAAGTAAAGAATGCACAAGTTCAACAATACGAACACTGGCTTTGAAACTCGACGGACCTTGACTGGAACACGTGAATATTCTTCGCAAAATCGAGGCTAACCCTGAGTAAATGAGTCTGTAATCAAG